ATGTATGTATGTATGTATGTATGATAATGTATGTATGTATGTATGTATGATAATGTATGTATGAATGTAAGTATAGGTGTAAGAGATGTATGTCATCTAAATGTGTCTTATTTGTATCTGTTACAGAATTCAGGATATCCATGTAAAGATATAACAGACAGATATTAATTCATGGAATTCGATGCAAGAATAAACGTGAACTGATTAATGAACAGTCTTTGTGAGTTATTCAAACATTCACTGGGAACTAACCCAGCCCAGTTACAATGATGAGGATGATAATAATGAGGATACTTGTGTAGATGATGATGATAATGATGATGATGACTTTTATGTAGATGATGATGATGATGATGTATTAAATGGTAGAATAACAGAAGAAGAAATTAAAAAAGCATTAAAACAACTTAAAAATGGTAAGGCTCCTGGAATGGACAAAATATTAAATGAATATTTAAAATATTCTCCACCAGAAATGATAACTATTTATTGTACCTTGTTTAATGTTAGTTCCATCCGTGTGAAGGCATCTAGTTAGATCCGAAATCAAATGAAACATTTCACATGTGTCGTATGAATTTACACAAAACTCATCACAAATCTATACAAATTTGTCGGTAAGCACATATTGGTATGCATACTGACATGGAAATGTTAGAACTTGGTAAATATTAATCCAAATGAGTCGTATAAACTTTGGTAACAGGACGTTCACGAACAATCCAAATATTCCGCCTCGTCAACATACAGATCGAGCGCTCGCCAGTATGGGCGGGGCCAAATGACCGAGTTTGAAAGCTTCTTGCTGCAGAATGACACGTCGTCAGTTCAGGTCACAAAGTACTTTAATACGTACTTTTGTACAAGGGAATTCAATGTTTCTAAACATATTAGCGAATATGAAATTTGGTTTAAACTCTCGACCTATCGGTCTCGAGTTCAAACCTAAATTTCATGTTCTAATCGCCAGTATAGCCACTCAAAACAACGTACTATCCCCTAATTAGATACTGGTATTATACCAGAAAACTGGACTATTGGTATAATTAAACCGATGTATAAAAATAAAGGGAATCCAGAAGATCCTGACAATTATATGGTCAACACGCTCATAAGTTGTTTTGGTAAGCTATTTACATCTATTATAAACAATCGCTTGAACTACTTTGAAAAACAGAAGAACTTGATATCTAGGAATCAAGCGGGGTTCCGAAAGGGACACTCGATTGCTGATAATGATTTTATTTGACATATATTAATTTCACTCTCTCTAAATAGTGGTAAAAAACTTTATTGTTCTTTTATCGATTTTCGCAAAGCGTTTGACACCGTGTGGAGAGCTGGGCTGTGGCAAACATTGCATAATAGTCGTATCAAAGGAAAATGTTTTCAGATTGTAAAAATATGTATAGTAATATTAAATCATGTGTACAACACCATGGAAATACGTCAGATGTCTTCCCATGCCTTATTGGGGTAAGGCAGTGGGGAAATTTTTCACCTTTCCTTTTCTCTTTGTTCCTAAACGAATTAGAAACGTTTTTTAAGTCCCTTGAATGTGTTCCGCTAGATATGGTGAAAGAAAAAATATCTGATGAACTGCATATTTTAATTAAATTTTTTGTCTTGCTATGTGCAGACGATACACTTCTTTTTTCGGAAACTCCAGAGGGATTACAAAATGCATTGAATATTTTTCAAGAATATTGCGATATATGGAAATTGAAAGTAAATACTGATAAAACTAAAATTATGATATTCTGCAAGCGGAAAAGTAACCAAAATCATGTCTTCCTTATCGGAGACGTAATACTTGAGATTGTTGATTGTTTCACATACTTAGGTATTATATTAAACTATAATGGAAATTTCGCTAAAGCGCGAAAACAACTGATTGATCAAGCTCAAAAATCATTATTTGCACTTTTACAAAATAATTCGGAATCATGCACTCCCGATGGTTATACTAAGCTTTTTGATTCAGTTGTAGAGCCAATATTACTATACGGCTCAGAAGTGTTGGGTTTCGAAAATTTGAAAAATCAAGAGCAGACGCACCTGAAATTCTGTAAGAGAATTCTAAAAATCAGATCTAGCACTCCTACTTTTATGGTATATGGAGAAATCGGTCGGTTCCCAATGGAAATAAATATTAAACTTAGAATGGCATGTTTCTGGAATAGTTTAATCGATACGCGTAATGAAAGTAAACTCAGCAGTATATTATTGAGATTGGCACTTAATTTACACGACTGCAATGAATCATATTCTTTCAAATGGATAAGTAAAGTTAAAAGTATTTTTCATGAATCTGGTTTTTCATACATTTTTGAAAATAAGATATGTATGAATAATTGGTTTTCCGAAGTTCATAATTCGTCGAGAGGAGAATTCTACTCAATGTTCAAGTGTGAATTCGGCTTTGAAAAATATTTGAAAAAAATGTCAGAAAATAAAAGACTACTTATTACCAAACTACGTACGTGTAATTTGAAATTTCCCATTGAAACTGGGAGGTGGCAGAATATTCCAAAAGTAGATAGGATATGTAATCTTTGCCTTGAAAATATTGGAAATGAATTTCATTATCTTTTTACTTGTAGTAATGTGGAAGTGAAAAAAATGTACAGAGAAAATACGTTCCAAATTACTATCGTACAAATCTAAATACAATGTAAAAATAAAATGAAAGGTCTTTTGTCAATATGCCATGAACAAATTCTGAAAGGATTATCAATTTTCTTTAAGAAATTGATTCCTTTACTTTAAGCTAAAACATGAACATTATACATATACATGTACTTCTATAGGTCCATAATATTGAAGCAATTATGGGTCCATATTATTGATATGTACAAATCAATATGTAAAATAGGTGACTATGTGAGTATTTTGGATACGGAAATGTATGCATATGTGCGTGTGTGTGTATGTGTATCTGGGATGTAGTCATATGTTTGTGTATATATGTGTGTATGCGCGTATATATGTAGACGTCTGTTTGTTGGTATGCATTGTATGTGTATGTATGTGCATATATATATATATGTATGTGTGTAATAACGAGTATGAAAGCAGCTAGTTTTTTAGTCGGTCGTTAATTTTATTTTTTCTATGTATGTGTGTATATATATATATATGTACATTTTATATATGAGGATGGGTGTATGTATGTATGGCTGTGTGCATGCAAAGGTCTGGATATATGTGTGGCTATTTACATATATGTATGCATTGCTGTGTCTAATTACGAAATAGTTCATTTGTACAACAGCTTATCATGCATATATATATATCAATATCTTCATATACATGCATGCACCTGTCCATCCTGTCATAATTTAATATATAAATTAATGTACATGTACCTCATGTTACACATTTTCATGTGTCTGAGTGTTGGAAATAAAATCTGAAATCTGAAAAATCTGAAAAACTAAATGTATGCTACGTGAGACAACACCCTTAAATTCAGTAGTGTCCAAGACCAGAAGTGCTGGACTGATTTTCACGCCTTTAATATTGCCTGAGGCTGTCATTTCCTGACAAAGGGACAGTCTCAGTATCTTACCAGTTCAAGTTCAAGTTCAAATATTTTATTTTCGTGTCAAACACATAGTATTCATAAAATCACAATACATATATACCTTTGAATATAAAATGTGTCTAGCCAAAATGACTTATTAGACACGTTATAAGAACAATCACACTATTTACTATCTTCAGACATGTAATGTTATTAACCAGTCTTTGTAAAAACAATTATGCTTGATAAAATTTTATTTGTAGCAGGACTATAATTTCCATATATATATAATACCATGTACCCCAACAGGGTAAGAGATATACAAGAGTGGTTGGGCCTATACCTACCGACAAATTATATATCCCCCACCCCATACCTGCACATCTCATTATAATACATAATTTGATATGGGAGAAACATGGTTCTTCTCCTCCACATAAGAGAAAGTTGGGTAGCTAGTGTCTTTTGGAGAACTGGTTCACACATCACATATCTGAACTGTTCAAATTTGTTCATATCATTGAAAATTTCATATACATTGTTTGCTTCCGTTAAAATTACAGATCTAAGATCATCATCAAATATACATTCCATTAAAAAATGATACTCGTTTTCTACATCATTGTTGCACAATTTACATAACCTATTATTGACAGGAATCACAGGTCGGGCATGCCTACCTTTTTCAATTTCAAGGGGCAAAGAGCCACATCTAAAGTTAAATAAAAAAAATCTTTTGCATTTGAGATGTACAGATTTTACATAATCGCTAGTGACAGGCTCATACTTGTAAGTTTTATATGTACGCAGTTTATTACCATTTACATTGTTTGTGTCATCCCACAAAGACAACTGCCAGTTATCATCATCTTCAAAACTCATCATCATCATCATCATCATCATCATCATCATCATCTATATGTGTATTTCCTCAAAGCTGAGATACATTTACATCGAAATCATATAATAAGGAAGGGTTATATAAAGTACATTTAGTACTGATATGTTCTATGTGCATACATGTTTAACATACTTACTCCATCGTATGTATCAATTGGCATATATCAATGTATAATACTGTACAATTATATTGATATTTCGTTATGGTTAAATTATTATGTATGTAAATACATTCAAGGATTTAAAGTTGTACTTTTTCTAATCATGAAATTATCCTTATTAAACCTCATTTTTCGTATTTATTCTTAATGTATCGTAAAAAAGAATATGTAATTCTTATACGAGTATTGTGTCCACTGTATACCGTCAGTTTAGGCATATGTTTATATATTTACTTAGTCGTCATTTTCGTTGTTGTGCCCTGTAACGTATAGATGACCACACATAGTTACCAAGTGCAATCTAAGATACAGTAGCTCTTTTGTTTCAGTGTCCGTTAGGTTGAAGTCCTTGTAGTATGGTTTAGCGAAGAACATTCGAACTTTGTTTTCGTTGTCTAGTCCTGATAATGTCACAAACACAGTCGGTGGACATTTGTTTTCACCTAAGTACCAATATGTATCTTTTAGTAACTTGGTCAAAGTACATGACGTAACAATGTGGCTATTCATATCTTGGTACTCCAGTCCACACCTGTCACATATACGTGTTGTCCTCTGTGGTATACATGTGACCATGGCTGTCACAAGTTTGACTGC